AGAAAATAAGTAATACATCTGAATTTAGAGAATTTAAATATTCCAAACTATTTTCCCTAAAGTTTAAGTTCAGTTTGGAAAAAGAAGCCATTTTCTCTAATGACCAGTGTTCTCTGTACTCTTTGTTTCATTTTCCTTCTTCTTGTTTATGAATAGAGCATTTTTCTTGATAAAATTCATAAAATTAGGGCTTCATAAAATTGATTAAATTAACCCTCAAGAAATCTTCTTGAAATCATCCTTTAAAAAAAAACCCACTGCATTGCGAATTCTATCCTTTTATGAAACAGGGGCGCAAAGTCCCGTGTAAATGAGATCAAAAAGAAATTCAGAAATTCAAGCAAAGCCAGGTTTTGGATTAACTGGACATTGCCGAGTTTGTTTTTAAACACCTACATGAAGAATTTGTTTCCAAAACATGATACATGCCTTTTTGTTACAATGTACCTTTTAGAATCCCACCCTCCGGAATCCTGAATTGCCCAAAGTCAGTTTTGACAGCTGTTATAAAGTAAACTCAATTTAAGAATGCAATAAAGCAAAAAAAGGTGTTTTAAAACCAACCGCTACACTGTTTTTGTTCTTTCGTAACTGTTTTTCACTTTTTAAAAAAAATTGGATATATTGCATTTTGGAAACAAACTCTTCATGTGTAACCATCCCTTCTAAAACTAGCATTCACAACCCCCCCCCCCCCAAGAAAAAAAAACATGTCTCCTGACATTGCAACTGAACTCAACTTATTTAGTGAAATAAAACTCTACATGTGACAAGATATGGTCTGCAAATATCCATAGTTAATCATTCTCAGGGGTGTGAGTGACCACTGATAAAAATAGCTGAAAACAGCTGAAAACAGCTGGAAAAGGTGTAAAAAAGCTGAACTTTGGAAATCTCCTATACTTTTGTACACAGCAAGTGAGGGAAAAAGCTGAAAAAAAGCTGAAATCCAACACACAAAAAGCTGAAATCAGCTTTAAAGCTGAGATTTCACACCCCTGCATTCTAAACAGATGCAAATGTGAACTCTTAATTGTTTCCAACAAGTGAAAATCCACTCCATCTCCAGTGAAATTCAGTCCAAGTTTTTACTCAAGTTATTCTTTTTCAAAGTATTTTCAATCTAAATAAGAGAGATTTCCACTCCAACTTGTCTAATCCACTGTTTTGCTCTTCGGAATTTAGAGAGTAGGCCTACATTTATACAGTCCATTTGCTCAAATAATTAGAAAATTGAAACAATTTTATTTTGTTTGTATCACAGTTATCTGCGTATGCATTGCAACAAGAAGAAGTCATGATTTTCTTTTTAATTTAAAAGGAATGAAAAGGACATCCCTTCAATAACAAAAAAAAAAATCATTTTTTTTTATTGCAGGCTATAATTGTCTGAGCATGACGGGAAAATGGATGTTGCAAAAAGGATTATGCAAGTAGAAATATGTTAGGCAAAAAAAAAAAAATATTCGGTCTCTGGTCAGACCAAAGTTCCGGAATTGACGCGGGGACGCGGCTTTTTTTTCTTTTTCTTCAAGCTTGGATTGTACAGACAAGGTGGGGTACTATTTTGCTATTTGGTGTCCTCATGTACTTTGGTGTCCTCCATAATTTGCCTTGGTGCTCTCGATCATTTGCCTTGGTGCAATTTCCCATTCCTTGGTGCTCTTTGAAAAAAAAATTGAGGAGGTGCGGCAATAGAGGGCGCTGTTGGAGCTACCGCGGAACATTTTGGGAAAAAAAAAATTGACGCGCATGATTAAAATCGACGCGTGCGCTGACCAGAGACTGACTTCTTTTTTTTTGGCCTTATAACAATATGAAGGACTGAAAGCAAAGAGGGAATTCATAATCTTTCAAACTTTAGAGTGATTTGAAAATGAAAGAACAAAACGAATGTAATTGGAGATATGTTTTGATGGTTGATAAATCTTTGGAAAATTGTTAGAGAAAATGGTTCTGTCAAATCTATTTTGTATGTGTCATTTTCTTGACCTACACATTACAGAGACTCTCAATGAAACATAGAACATTATTAAGGAGTCTTGTCAAAGGAATTTACAATGCAAGATTTGGAAAAGAAAATATAAGGAGTTGCAAAGATTTGGACAATAGTTATGAAAAAGGCTCTCAGAACCAGAAGTAACAAATCTTTTTCTGTAGGAATGTAAATCCTTGGTGGAATTTAGGAATTGATTGATATTTGGAGGAAATTTTCAACGTTTCAGTTGAAAAATATATATTTCGGTTCTTCTTTGACCGGTTGCAAGTTTTTTGATGGTCATTGATAGGTGCAACAATTAAAGGCGTTTTTGGAATGTTGAGTGATGCTGAGATAAAAGAAAATGTCATACTACAATTCTCAGTGTTGATAAAAAGATACACAGAAACCTTAAGAGTCACTAGAAAGTTCTGGTATGAAATGTAAGCTGGTTATGAGTTCAAAAGATGGAGTAATATTTAAGAAGATTAAAGAGATCAAGAGACTGTTCAACTTTGAGCATAATTCTGAGCATCGACAGAATTGTTCAATTAAAGAAGGAAGAATAGTTTCTGAATGTTTCTAAAAGGTGACAGAAGGCATACATGTACAGTGCAAGCTGAAAAGCAAGGTTTACAGAGTTTATGATCTGGGATGCAAACAGATATTATGATGAGAATTCAGTTTGGAAGCCTACAAATTTATTTCTGTGTGCATGTGAAATAATGATGTTCTAAGCTAGACCTTAATACATAATTTCAAATGTCTGTGAAAATCATCAAGAGATTTCTTACCACAGTAACATCATGAAAATCAAAATGTAACTCTCAATAAGTAGAGGACTTTATGGAAATTGAAAGAGATGGAAGGTGAAGTTACAGTGGATTTTTTTTTCGATTCAGAGTAAGTAATATCTCAAGGTATGGAACAATATTGATAGAGTGTTCCACTCAAGAAACGATGGATGAAGATAAATAAAATTCAAGATGTGTTTGCAGATTCTTGGAGACAACTAAAAGGAGAATTATCATATGTGAATGTGGTTCTGTCATCCTAACTAACATTTGGGGCATTTAAATTCAGAGTCACTAAATAGAAAAAGTTCTGTTTTTACTGTACAAGTGGAAAGCATTAAATTCTCTGGTAAATTAAGCAATGCTATATGGCATAGAAATGTGTAGGAAACTTTGGTTCCAGATCTAAGAGAAGACTGGATTTTAGAAGTTTCTTTTCAGAGAATGACAGACAACAAATATGTGTCAAGTGCCTAGCAAAAGGTTTAGCGAGAATTTTACCATGGCTGTGAAATAAAAGAGTATATCTTTCTTTTCCACTGAGGAAGAGAGGGACTGAATGTGACTTTTTAATGTAAAGAAAAACTTTTCAGCATTGTAACAAGCAATAAAGAATAAAAGGCAAAAAGGCAAAAAGGCAAAAAGGTGAGGACTTTAAAGTTTAGAACAGAAAGGTACAGTAATTGTTGCTAAAACAGAGAAAAGTCGATGAGACTTTTGTTGACGGATCATTCACAGATTTACACCTCACTTGTGTTTAGGCTGGTTCCAAGTTCTAGGCATGAGACTATTAAAAATGACGGAAAACATCTACATGTATGTAGCCAACACATTTAAGACTGATACTGATGAGTGATCTGGTAAATTTCTCTACTGTAATGAGACTCAAATTCAATTGTCATACATTCTCAATATTCCAACGAAGAACATTCAGGAAGTTATTGAAAGTAACAACTAAAACAAAAAGAGGACTGAGAGAATAAAGAGTTCTATACTGCCCTCTGGCGAATAAGGAATTCCATGGGATGTAACTGCGCATGCGCAAAACCAGTAACGAATACGCACTCGCAGACCAGTCTTCACTCGAACAGTATTGGGTACAGAAGTGCCAGAAATGTACCAGTTTTTCATTGTAAACTTGAGAAAATCCCTAATCACTATAGTGAAGGGTGACGTGGACAAATGTGCTGCCAATATGGCGCACAGAAACAAGAAACAACCAAAATGGGAAAAGAGGATTGTGAGAATAAAGAGATCTACATGGTTCTTTGGAGTGTGGTAGACAAAATACTGTTGAACTTATAGTGAAGAAAGAGGAATTTCTATGCAGACATGTACAGTGTAAGGCAAAGACAGATTTTTAAGAAGTTCATTTTTAAGAAAAGAATTATGGGATGATCGTGAAGTTGTAGGGAAGATGATTCCCAAGCTTAGGATCTGCTGAACTCACCCCCCCCCCCTTATGCTTATGACATTGTTTTGTGAATAACAAAAAGGAAGGCTTCACCAGCCGGCCAGGAATTTTAAGGTGTTCTACCCTACATGTTTTGTACTGAGGTTGGTACACTATAGGATTTCTAAAATGATAAAGCTGGGAATGAACATAAGGTTGGGGGATTGGGTCAATATTGCCACCCCCATTTGAACCCCCATCTTAAGTAACTAATGATGATGGACATATGACAAGTCCCCACCCTTCCTGTAGAAACACTCTTCCACAAGCTCATAAATGTCTTTCAAATCATGAACTTTGAACCTATGTTTATTTCCTTGATTGAGCCAGACGGCATACTTCCATCACGGACCAAATGGTCTGTGCTTCAATTGAGTCTCTCCACTCTGGAACTGATGTGAGCAGAGAGCAACTTGATTGAGTGCATTAAAGTGGTTGCTTAATAAAATAATGATTACCGAGATGCAATCAATGTATTAAATGGGAAATATGTGATCATAAAATGTAGTTTCAATGTCAATTACAATTGACTTTATATACAAGGATCGAGACTCATTTGTAAAAACTCAAAACTCATGAACCCAAACTGGATCTCAACATGATGGTTACTTACATGTACCGTAAGAATTCAATTACACGTACCTGAAATCTCCCCCCCCCCCTCCATAATTCCTCTGAATCCCTCCCCTCCCACACCCTACCCTAATTTAAGATGACCAAAATCCTCAATCATATAAAGTAAGTGGCATTCAAATAAAATTAATGCTGGACATACCTGTTCAGTTGACTGAAGACGACCAGACATCTTGATCCAGGTCTACATCTCCAGCAGCGGGGAAGCCCATCCAGGCTGGCATCCAATCCAAGCTCGGACAGAAACTCTGCTTGTCTCACCAGACATCTTGATCCAGGTCTACATCTCCAGCAGCGAGGAAGCCCATCCAGGCTAGTATATCCAATCCAAGCTCGGACAGAAACTCTGCTTGTCTCACCAGACATCTTGATCCAGGTCTACATCTCCAGCAGCGAGGAAGCCCATCCAGGCTGGTATATCCAATCCAAGCTCGGACAGAAACTCTGCCTTGTCTCACTCTGGCTGTGCATTTATCAGCAAGTTGATGTCCAACTAGGGTACAGTGTCGTCTCTTGCCAAAATGAAATAAAAAAAAACATATGTCATTAAAATAATCTAAATCAGTTGTTGTTGCAACTTGCATACAACTTTATATTCCTGGTAGGTTTTCAGATGCAAAATTATAGAATTTGGGGATTAAAATTTGCTGTAATTTGATATAATTTGATAAAGAAAATGCTGCTCAAGTTCAAACCTCCTTCAAAAACAGTGGTATTTAAATTTGTCATACTATGGAGGATTCCGGACAGTAAATTAGTTTTAATTTGATGTTCAAATAGGCTGAGAAGTATTGTCACTTGCACTTTGCCCCAGGGCCCCACAAATGAAATTTTCATCAAATCTTCAGAAAGAATATTGTAACCTGACGCCACTTTTTTCTTCATTTATCAAGTCAATGAAGGTCAGTCATTGCAAAAGTGATGATAAAGACATGAATTTTGGACTGAGAAACATTTCCAATTTTGTTAGGAAATACTTCAAAAATTTCCTGACTCTCCATAGACTTTGTATACAACGGCTTTGTCGTCCTGGGGAGTGGGGTTGCAATATTCTTTCCAAATTTTCTTCCAATCTTAAATCAATGCAGTTGACAAGACGTATTGAAGTAAAATGTCCTTAAATGTTACATAATACATACATGCAATTGAAATTCTACATGACGAAATAGGGACATTGGGTTCGTGAGGGTGTGGCGTGATTTTGTTGTAGAACAAATTCAGCCTGCATTTAAAATCAACACAAACTTTTGTAATTGTGGTCAAAACGGAAGTAGGCCTATGCTATAACGATTGGAAAGATATCCATGATTAACCCATGAATATATAATACAGGTTTACAAGATAATAAACACGAATATATACCTTTTTTCCTTCATTTTCTATCTGCTAATGTGCTGTAAAACGACTTCAAAATGGCGACCAATTCAGATATTTTTTCACGTGCTCACGTGGCCTGTTCAAATTATTCAAAGGCGCGTCGGGTCGGCGTGCCGCACGTAGGTACCTAGGCGTCCCTTACAACCAATGTACGTGGCTAGAAAATGGACCAGACTAAATTCGTCATCACCGCATATCGGTTTCATGCATTTTTTAGGAGGGGGAGGGTGGACATGGGAAGGGCATATATGATGGGTTTTTTTTTTTTTTTAAATCCTTTTTTTATGTAAAAGTGAATATGTATAATAACTTATAGAAATGAGTGAGTATAAAAAAAAAACCAAGCGACAGAAGTTGCCAAGTTTCTTTTGATATCACCTGGCCCCAAATTTCATTACCTTAAACATAATAATTAAACACCCCCCCAAAAAAAATTTATAAGCAATAAAACGACCGTATTTTCTTTAACTTTCAGTCATTTTAAAAGTAAAAATCATTACCCAGTTACTGTAGTTGTAAAAAAAAACAGTGTATCGTTACAAATTTGTCAAAACACAGGGTATGTTACAATTCAGTGCTTTAGCACTTAAATAGCGCCCTCGCTCAAAACTTGAGTCAAGTTGTAATGCTGCCCCCCCCCCCCATGGGCTTTTGTTCATTAAATAATCCTTACTACAGTACACACAGCAGCCCCATCAGACAAAAATATATTTTAATAAAACTGCCATAAACCAAGTTTCAATTTCACACTTTCCGATACATCTCTGCATTTTTTGACTGGAATTCGGTCTTCAATTTCTATCCCCAGAAGGCATCAAGTTAGATGCCCAAAATGATCTTCCAGGACCGAATTTCCAAATTAACCCTCATTGACATCAGTCTTTCATCCTTCCTTTACATGCTCATATAGATGCAAGGGTTTTTGCTGGGGGTGAGCTGGGGGGAGTGGGGGCATTATTTCAATAAAGACACGATTTTGAAGATTCACATGTTACAAAATAACAATCTTCCCCCTCCCCAAAGTCAAAATTCTTCATTCCTTTAAATTACCATAATATTAACTTGCAATCAGGTACACATTGTGGACAGCAAGAAAAACACAATGGAAACAAATGTATCTTGACAGAAACCTTGTTATTTTATTCAATATAGGTTGTCAGTCTGCGGCTCATTCCTAGTACATACCCAATCAGCATTGTGCCGATTGGTTCCACTTTTTCATAATTACATGACAGGTTTTTGTTTTTGAGTTTAGAGATGCGGTGTTTTGATTCTCATAACCACTGTGCTATGATGGGCACCAAGATGGGTACAGGTGGCATCTTCAGTGATTTTCAGCGTCTTGACCTATGTCAAATAAAAAAGGGGAGAAGGAATTAATTCAGTGGGTTAGCTATTGAAAAGAGCAGCATAAATCACCACCATGTTGTTAATCTACACAAATGCACCATGAAAAATGCATTGAATTGGCGTTTACAAACATCTCCCACTTATTCCATGGGAATGATGTATACTCATTAAAACAATGAAGGTTCTTTGAGATGCAGATGTCATTTTTTTGTGATGCAGCTGCCAAGTTAATTTTCAAAAAACCTGCAGTGACCAGAAGCTTGCTCACTTCGTATGAAACCCAACGCCCGGGAATGGATTTGAGTTTTTTAAGACAAAATAAAGCATGGTTTTGCTTAGAGCCTGGTCACTACTCTGACCTGAATCCGTGCCACACAATTACCCAAGATATGTTCAAATCGGATCTCAAACAGAATCTTAATCTCAATCAGAATCTAAGTTAGCCATGCCAGATGATTGCCACGGCTTCTAATTCAGCATCTTCAAATTAAACAAGTTCACATGAATAGTATGAATGAAGTATGAGTAAGTGCTCACCTCTATCTAGGCCATCTGGGGTGCAGGAGGCTGCTGAGGGGGGACCACTCCAGGTCCCATGGCACCAGCTACGGGTACCTGCTGAGGGGGCTGGCCGGGGGCCACAGCGCCAGGCTCCATGGGCTTGACACCCTTCTGCTCCGAGTAGGGCTGGGAGGGGATCTCCTCGTCCTTGGGCTCCACTACGCTGACGGCGTCGGGGAGCGGGCGCTTGGGACCACTCTTGCCTGTGGCGTCAAAGGGCAGCATGATCTTGACCTTGATGCCGAGCACACCTGGATCAGAAATGAGGAAGAAAAATGGAAATTGGCTTGCATAATATTCTACATGCCCAACCAAAGTCGGTTTTCTGCAAAGGACATGCTGAAAAATACAAGAACTTTCACAACTTGAATATCATCCCAGGCCTGCCATATCGGTGTAGCAAGTGAACAAATTTTGTGGGATTTTTCCAGGATTGAAGCTATATGGCAAAATTGTGACGCTGATTTTGGCGGATGTACTGTGTCAAGGCCTTGGGCCAGATCATGTGTTGTTAATATGCCCAGCTGTGCATAAATTTAGGCCTAGGTTTTACTCAAAATCCCCCACACAACTCCAGGATGTCACTGGCTCTGCCTCAACATATTGACAGTGATTGCTGGAGGATTTGGGCAGGGTCACACCTGTAAGGACCACATTAAAATAAAATAACAGATTTTGGAGGATTGAGTTGGTATGCAATTTTTATATGGAGGCAGTTGGAGGATTTTGCAGGAATGAAGACCTTAGCAAAAAATGCCTAGGGAGTTAGGGTTAAAACAACGAAAAGGATAACACTGAAAAAAGTTCAGAGAAACCCACACAAGATTCTTTGAAAGCCCATCCCTTTCTAACAAAAATGCACACTAAAACTCTCAACTCCACTCACACTACCTATGCATGAAATGTCTGACAACCATATGCACATACGAGCCCACCCTTTCAAAAACAAATCCACAATTGAACTAAACTCTACAACTGCACTCACCCTGCCTGAGCATGACGTGTCTGATGGCCGTATCCACGTACTCGTTGACCGGGTCACCGCTGTGGATCATCAAGCCGTCCACAAACTTCATGGACTTGGCACGCTGACCTCTCAGCTTGCCCGACACCACCACCTCGCAGCCCCTGGCGTTGCTCTCCATGATGAATCGCAGCACACCGTAGCAGGCCCTGCCAGAGTGAAATTAGGACCCAATCCACACAAAATGAATGACAGATTGCCACAGGTACTTTTCAGTTACAGGATTTTAACAATTTTTGAACGATTCGAACCCAGGTCACAGCCGGTGGAAGGCGAGGAATGTACCACTACGTCAACCTCATCCCCCACCTGAATGCTAATTGCTATCACTTCAGTATTGTCTTATATAAAATCATATTATACAAAGTTGTAAAAATGGGAAAGATTTCCGTATACGAAGTTCACTAATTTTCCTCTGTATTGACTAACAAGCCCCCAGATAGCAATTTCATGTCACCAAAGTCAATTTGAGCAGTGAGAAAATACAAGCATTTTCTTAGAAAACACTTAGAATTTTTCAGTCCAATCTCATAGGGTTTGTACACAGGGTGTTGAGTGAACTTCGTATATGGAAATCTTTCCAGGATAGAATTGCTGGGTATACCTTCGGACAGCCAGACCTCCGATGAGCTTGTAACGCAATGATTCACACTGAGCGATGGCACACAGACCACGGGTAGCAACCTTCTCAGCATACAGCTATACAAAATGGAAATAAATAAAGTTCTCATCACTGCCTATACATTTCGCATTCAGAAAAACCACCATACCCACCCAGCATGTGTGGTGTGCATTTATAGTTAAATGAATGATGAACATTTAGCTGTATACATCATGGTAGCCCGAGTAACTTGAGCCCTACTTATCACCTTTTTAACATTTGGACATGGTCTAGCAATAGTAGGGCCCAAGTTGAATTGCTATCCAAATAATTAACGACCCAACCATTTGCCAACAAAAACATCAAATTTCACCCTCAAAACAGCCACACAACAGCCACCTGATATACAAGAAGAGATCGATGATTAAGATCAAGGTACTTAAGTTTACTTATGATCTGGATGAAAAGTGAAATTTACCATTAATTGGTTGAGGGCTCCGTCGCGAATACCAGGCGCGGACCCAATTTTCAAAATGGTGTCCGTGCAGTATGTTATAAAGGGCCAACAACATGGCATGTTTCTGACACCAGAACTTCTAATCAATTGTATATTTATGACATCAATGAACATTCAATAAACAACAATTTTTAGCTGTCTAATTTAAAAGATTTACTGAAAGATATGTTCATGCCTGACCATGCTGACACAACTCTCAAACTCATTTGAACATGTTGAAGCCACAGAAAGAATGTCATGAATGTAGTATCCAGATGCTACTTCAGGTTGTGTACAAAATCTATCAGTCTATGGAGATTCAAAAACATTTTCGAAGTATTTCTCAACAAAATTGGAAATACTTCTCAGCTCAGTCCCAGATTCATGTCTTTTCAACATTTTAGCAATGACTGACTTTCATTGAGATGATATAGGGCCTAGGCTCATGATGAAAAAAATGACGTCTGGATGCAACATTCTTCATGTTCTTTCCGAAGCCACACTTAAAATCGGTCATACTAAAAAGCGTCAACACAGCGTCAACACACTCCAAAGCGTCAACACAGCGTCAACACAGCGTCAACACATCCAAAATGCATTAAAAGTGACAAAAGCAGTATGTAACCCATATAGTATGGTCAGAAACAAGATTTTGGCTTAAAATTAATAGGTTAAACGTCTGAAAATTGCGATTTTCAGTTCAAGAAAATTGGCTCTCCGTGCCGCTCCGAAATCGGCTGCCATCAAGTTGCCTCAGTGGCAGTGCGGACCATACCATTGTGCTAAAGGGTGATAGCGTTGTACAATAAACCAACAGAGAGGGCGCGGCCGGCCAATACCAAAAGATGTCCATTTCAATAAAGTAAATGAAACATAAACACAACTCACAAAATAATGATCCACCACTCCGATCCTCAGTCCTCACAGATCTGGTATCCCTCTGTTGTTTATGACAAGATAATGTCATTACCTACACACCCCTACTAAAATGGTGTCGTCCAAGCTTTATGCGAAGTCAAGATGGCGGACAACGGCCGTGCAAGCGAAAGGTCATTTTTTCGCGTGAAAATACTATATTTTTAACAACTAAATGGAAACTCAAACCAATGGAAATTCTCTTTTATTCTATGCTTTACAATTATATACCATTTTTGTTAATTCAGAATGTGTTTTGGATATGTTGACGGTGTGTTGACGCTTCTGTCATGTGTTGATGCTGTGTTGACGGTGTGTTGACGCTTTTTAGTGCGACCCCTTAAAATTGCAACCTGAACATGCTGAAACTTTACCTCAACGGTCCCCTCGGCAAAGTTGAAACGCTTCTGCACCACGGCCGTCAACTCTCTGATGCGACGACCCTTCTCACCAAGCACATTCTGTGTCCTAGTGGCCATGATGATGATCTCAGTGCGGGTTGGGGTCACACGCACCTCCACGCCACTGTACCCATCTTCAGCAAGTTCACGAGTCAGAAACTCATTCAGTTCTGCCTTGAACACTCCGTCAGCTACAAACTAATTGACGAGAAAACAACGTATTTTCTTTAATTTACATCTTAAACACCCAATTTTTTATTTGAACACTTAAATTGGATAAATGGGATCAAACGGCAATATTGCTCAAGTAGAAATAGAGACAAGATCAACATTTTGAATAACATGAACGCACGTAAATTTATTACACGTTGGTACTACACAGTACGACAGGACTCAATCCACCAGAATCGTTGCTAAATCACGTCATCGTTCACAAAAAGTATCACGCAAATGTCATTTGATATTCAAACTATGCTTTCAGTTCAATATTTATTTTATTTTGTGAGGAAAGGGGGAATTTAGGTCATCTCTACCTTTCTCTTCTTGGAGATTTGAGCCGCCATCTTGACAGACGGAGTGAAAGAGAAAGAAACCCGGATGTACGGTAGACTGGTACCCTAGATATCTATTCATGCTCAACGGATAGGTTTCGTGCAGGTACCTGTCATTGCCAAAAAAAGGCCGAGTTGAAAGTGACTGAGGGCGCTGTCTGGCAATTAGAGGGGCGGGACAATTGGGGGGGGGGGGGGGTTTGACAAAATAACTTCTTTTTACAAAAAATAAAGAATATTTAAATTCCTCCCAATAAATCCTTTTTTTTTTAAACAATCCCTGCTTGTTCAACTGTGTCTACCAAATACAGCTGTAGCAGTTTAGGCATTAAAAGAACCAGTCTTAAAATAGCCCCCCCCCCCCCAAACAAGGACGATTTCCCATAAAATCGACTCAGATACTCCCTCATCGTAGCTGAATGAAGCTGACCTAACTTGGAGCTTATTTTGCAAAGATATCGAAACCTCAGGAATAGGGAACTTCAAATTGCCCCCCCCCCCCAATCATTTATGCAACAATTATGGACAAACAATAACAATACATTTTGCGCACCGACACATATTTTTCTTTCATAATAGCATTTTATTATTCACAACTTCTTGTTTTCCCCTCTCATAGGCACAAATCCAGACGTGTCTAACTCACTGCCTCGACCATACAAGAATATCAGCCTGACCTTAGTAATTGCTTTTTAGGATTTCGAAAAAATATATAACTATGGTTTGGTTCAAAAGTAAGACATTGGGAAGGGCACTGTTTTAACTAGTCCAGAAATTGAAATTGGGAACGGTAGGATTCTTCGTAAGGTTCACATTAACTATACACAGCACTTGAGAAATTTGTAATAAACTTCAAATTATGAGACCAGTCTGATAGGGCACAGCCACAGAAGTTTTCAAGGATGGTAAATCTCAAGACTTTATACGCTTTCAAAATATAATGTTTCAGTGCACTTAAAAGTTTGAAGTTTGTTAGACAATAACTGAAAAGGATTATTATAAGGGGCAGATCAACAAAAGGATGGGATTTTATTCTCCCCCCCCCCCCCCCCCCCCCGTAACTACCCATTTGCCAAATGTTCCATTCTGTATAACTGCTATCCTTGATTTGGTACACAAAAACAGAAGTTCACCATGGACTACATACATAAGATTACAGCATTCAAATTTTCCTTAGCACCATTTTCTATATGGAATATTAAAAAAAAAAAAAAAAATGTGTGTAACGTCTGTGAGATTTTACGAGATGCGTAACTTCCGAGTTGCTCGACGATAGACCGATTCATTAAACCCATCCAATGGCACTTGGGTCAATCACTGCTGCGACTAATACCTGATAGGCATCCACAAGAGTCTGATGTGTGCACGCGCATACGCCTCGCACGGCTGGAACGTGCAGTGTAACATTGGATAGGTGCACAAGACGGTTGCCGAAATGAGCAGTGGGTTGCGCTCAATAGATCGGTCTACTGAAAATGCCTAATATGACTGCAGCAAGTTTGTCAAACCACGAGAGGTCAAATTTAGTCAGTTTTATTAAACCAGCTTTTCAAATATCGGCTGCATGTTATCAATGGTCACGTTGCAGTAGGTACATATTTTCACGATGACGTTTGCCCATGTAGTTCAACTTGAATGCTAGCACTTCAATATTAGCACACATAATACACAGTTCATGTATAACACAAGTCAACCAACAGTTTAAGGTACGCAGGATCATTTGCTTATTGCCCTCTTTTTTGCCTTCGAAGCATCAGGGTGGTGACAGCTTACCTGTTTTAGCTCATTGGCCACGATACATTTTGAGAACTTACAGACAAAACACGCAAACTTTGTTAGGTCTTTTAACAAGATTCCCTTGCTAATACATGTACATGCACAAAAAGTGTGACTGCGGGCACTGATTCCATTTCAGGTGAAATAATTTCACAGGGTATTTGATACCAGTCTTATCTTCACTTTGAGCAAGGATTCTATCATTAAATTGGTAGGTACTTTTCCGGGAAATTACAAATTGATCCTACATGCCATTAACCAATGCTTTGGCTACGCCTGACAAGTGGCATGATCTACAGATCAAGGATCGCCCAAGTCAAAAATGTTTATCTTTCCAAATGTAGGACTCTCAAACAATCCTCTCCTTTTCTCAATTTGCCCGTTTCTTCCAACCCCATACTTCTTATTTTTAAGACGAAACATGACATAATAAGAGAAACTGATGATGATAATAAATAATGGTCACTAAAAGTGAACTGAAAATGGACAAATGTAAAGAAAAGTATTAGACAGCATTTAAATTGCAAAAAAAAATTGAGAGTAAAATATCATCCCAAACACAGAAAAAAAAATTCAAATTAAGACTGCTTCCACATCATTCGGCTGTGGCTTACGTAGGATATTTCATAAATATTTTGGCAGTTTTTTGCAAATGATCCTATATGCCTTTCAGGACGAGAAAATTCACAGGAATAATATAAACCCAACAGGGATAACGTGGCTAAACTCAACACGAAATACCCAGGATCTTTTTCCCAGAAAGTTTAAAGATGAATTTTGCAGCTCCTGCCCAAAAATCACAGGTTTCACAGCGACTAACAATGATGGGTGTCATAATTAGCAAACCCATGTTAAGATCATGAAACTTCAATTTAGGTTTTTTGCCCTTTACTGACGTATAAACACTGTATACTCAGTGTGTTACCTCCCGAGTGAAAGTTGGAAAAAATCACTCGGGTGTGACTCGAACCCACGACCTCCTGCTTTCTAGTGCAGACGTCTTACCACTCGACCACCGAGGTTGGCTGGTTCGAATCTGATGTACATAGTAGCGGGTACCGCATTAACTATTCATAAGGGAAGTAACACACTGAGTATACAGTGTTTATACATCGGTGAAGGGCAAAAAAACCTAATTTGATTTACATCACCCCGACGCAAGAAACCCCATCTTACGAATAATCATGAAACTTGTTGGCACAATGCAATGTGGTCTGTTAGGAAAATGTGTTCAGTTCTTGTAGCAGTTAGTGGTTACTCCGTAAAGGTCGCCCACAGCAGCAAAGCTGGCCATATTGTTTTCCGCATTTGATGTCGGGTTTTCTGCATTTCATTATCTTCCACTAAACGCTCAACTCATCTCACTCTGATGCGCTTTCTTGCAAAGCCTTACTCAAACGTAACTGTCTGTGACATTAGATGATGAAACTTGATGCCGTGTGGAAAATCCACTCCACATAATCTCTTGATGGTCGCTGGAACTTTCTCTTTGTAAATTTAGCAGAGTCACACCATTTTTAAGGTGATATGTCACCTCTATCCAAAAGTAGTGTTGCAGTTTTGTTCAGTTCAAAAGTTTGCCTTAAAACGTTCAGAATTCACTTCTGTAAAATCCAAAAATGTGGACTGTTCCACGGCATTCTTGCCTGCCAATAAATGCACTTTGTGTAGTAGTCATCTTTTGCTGCCTGTTGATGCTCCATACTTCTCCACATGGAACAATTGCTATGACAAGTCTCTGTTTGTTTGGGTTTTTTAGGGTTTTTTTCAAGGTAAGTTTGGGGAAAGCCCCAGGTCCGTTCTATTCATAAGATGTCCAGGAGTTTCTTGAGTTCTATCATTGTTTGCCAATCGGCTTTCTCAAGGTCTTCCCGGAAGTATTTCTTGACTGCGTTAATGGACTCGCGGGATATCTGCATGTAAATCAAAAAATGTAGAAAAATACGATTTTGTTAAATACGTTAGTGATTGAAAAATATAACAACAAACTTGACATCTATGTATGGTATATCCTCACATACAACACGGGTAACATGCAGAAATTAGACGCTGACCACAGAAAAAAATGAAACTTGCAATAATGAATCCACTAGTATTGAAACTGAGAATGCTATTTGTTTTAAAAAAAAGACATGAAGTCCAATGCCTTCATTTGTATCTTTCACTAGTTGTGCTTAGTACAGAAACATTTTGCTCAGCAACAAACAGATTCCAAGCTGAAATTTCATGAGACTGGTTCCAAGTTGGTGTAAGCTCAACAAGACAACATGCTTAGCAATATTTCATGCTTTGCAGCTCCAGGAAATGAGACAAGGTGACCAACCGAGGAACTTATGTCCTCACATGTTGTTTGTTCGTCAGTTTTTTGCTTTGTACAACTTAAAAACACATAACAGTAACACCTTGTTTCACATGGGCATTCTAGAGTCGCGCTGAACCAGAATATTCTACACATTTGAATTGAAGTACATGAAATGTTCATTATCTGAAACACTTTAGGGGCAGCTACATTGAAAGCTTGACTGCAACAGTCACTAGAAAATACAAACATAAATTTTGTCTGTCTGAAACCAAAAATCTACTCGGGTCAACACGAGTCCTCTCTAGTGCTATTTCCTTTGCCCAACTCTGGAATGTCAGCCTGAAGCCGGGGTAAACAGACCTCAACATCCTAAAAACATCTGCCTCACCCTGCTGATAAGAAGGTCCTGACTGTCGAAGTGTCTGCCGTACATCTTGGGTGCGTCGCTGCCGCCCGTGTGCTCAATCTTGATACAGACTTCCTGGCCTTTGCGAGCAGTCTCAACATTTTTGTGATTGACCTCTATGCTCGATATCGCCCCAAGAAGGATATTCTGTTGAGATGATATAAAAAAAAAAAACAGGAAAAGGTGACAAATTCGTAAAATATCCAATGACATGTTTGTCTAATAATCACACAAAATTGGATATTCTCATTGAAAAACGACCTGAAAGGAGAATTAAAGAACTTCTTTTCTGGACTAAGCACCTGCTCCAGCCAATATTACTTTTTAAGACAGTTAAGGTTCCAAATTGGTGTGCTAAAAGGCTGGACTTGCGGGATTCCTTAAAGATTCCCGACATGCAAGAGGGACAAGGTTTTGGACACCGGCCAAAATCAAGATACAGTGCATAATAGTGCAGCCGGTAGCCTTGTTTTTTGCCACTATTTTTCCATGCTTTCCAGACTTCTCTACTTAGCAAATTATGAAACTGACACCCAGAAGAACTGAGGACATACCTCTTTGGAAGGCACGCAGATGGGCGTGCCCACTTTACAGATGCCGCCTTCCACGTTGACGCCCACCACGATGGGATTCCGGGCGTTGAAGATGAACTGGGGGATGACCCGCAGCTTGCAGGGGAAGACGGCAATGTGCTTGTGTTCCTCCCTCAGCTTCCGCTTTGCCTCCTCCCGGTAGGCCATGAACTTGTCGAAGAGGTGGTAGATGATGTCTGCCTGGAAGATCTTGACGCCTTCCCGGTCCGCCATCTCCTGGGCGTCCCGCTCCACTTTGACGTCAAAGGCAAGTACGACAGCGTACCTGCAGAGAGGAAATGTCGATGACAAGGATCAGTCAACCAGTCACCTCTCTCATTTATTGGATTCCTCTCCCAGAGCTTAGGCATTCTCCTGATGACGGAGCATTCTGACCAAAATACCAAGTTAACCTCACCGGCTCTTCTAAAAGCCACCTCTCTCGGAGTGTAACTGTATATGGTGTATCCACACACTTCTATCCACCATGCAAAGCCTCAAATCGCATTCTCCTCTAATTTTGTGCAACAGGTCAAGCCCAATCCTTTGCAGCCATTCAGTGTTTCAGCTAAGAGACGCAGGATCACTCAGTGCAAAGTCTGCTTTACCTCGTAAACTGGTCCATTTGATACAAGCTAGAGCAATGTCAGACAGCCACCTTTAAACAGATTGCAAGATTCTACTCAAATCCACAATCTCTTCATCATTCCCATTAGAATCCTTTCCAAACACTGTGGGAAAGTACTCTTAATTGAGTTTATGCCGAGTATTTCATCCACAAGGTAAACAATTTGACAAAGGGTTGTCAACAGCTCATCGTGGATTCCACAGGCTATCAGCAACTTTTAGGGGATTGATCCTCGAAAGTTTCTTACTCAAACCACCACAACAGCGAGAGGAAAGTTTACTTACTGACTATCTCGCTCCAGCATGACCGATGCTTTCATAACATCCTTTTTGTGCACTGGTCCAATGGAAATACCAGCATACTGTGAACAAAAAGTAGGATTTGTCTTCACAACTTGTTTTTTGCAAAATATTATCTGTAAGTTTTAAGTGATTAATATCTGATTACTGACATGGAAGCTTGGAAATGTACAGTAAATCTTAAACCAGTTTACACTGGAGGACATGTAAACACTATCTGGCAATGTATATTCGCAGCGGCAGATGACGTGTTAAATCGTCAAGCTTTCCCTGACATGTATACACATCAGTGGTTCCCATTGGTTTTGAACACACCGTGTTTTGAACTTGAACTTGGCCGCTGTACATGGCCTGTCGTCGTAGCACATATCACTCCACGGCAGGGCCTCGGAGTGATGCAAAATATGAAGTTACAGTGAGAAGTATCGTGTACAAATGACTCTCAAGAGTCAGTATTTGTGGTGTTTGACTTAATTTTAAATTTTGGCCGATATAGCTTGTCTTTTTCAAAAATGGTGCATTTCGGCCAAAACTAATCCCGACAGCAGGTGGTTGACATCTTTCCAACTACTGACACTATTGATACATTATGGCAAAGCTCTTTTAATTTTTTTGTTTGATTATGATAATTACAACAACAATAATAATATAGAAAATGTATAATGCGCCAGATCCACCTCAATGAGATGCTCAAGGTAATTAATTAAGTACAACACAAAAAGGGAGGGCACAATAACATGCATGACTTACAATTAGGATGAACGGCACCCTACAATTTTATAGTAAGTAAAGTCTGTCGCGAGCCACTGTGGCCCATCAGGCCGGCGTTTATTTCTTGTTTCCTAAGCGCGAAATATCTGAGAATATTATCTATTCTCCCTGGATGGGATGCTAGTCCATCGCAGGTTGCCGTTACTCATTTATACCCCTGGTCGGACAGAGGCAAGTGGGGATAAAGTGGCTTGCCCAAGGACACAAAATATGGCCAGCGGCTGGATTTGAACCCTTGACCCTCTGATCATGAGTCACAAACCCTGACCACTATGCCACACTCCCCCACTCTTTACTTCAATTAATTTGGCGAATAAAAGTCGTCGAGCATCTTTATCAACTGTCTTCATGGGAAATCCTCTTATGCAAATTCTAAGCTTCACTTACAGGAATTTGGGAGGTCTTTAGGAATTCCAGGAGAGCTTCTAAGGACCCTAACGTGGAAGCCTGGACGTACACCCCTAGGTCCGCTAGCTTGATGGAGGTGAGCGCTTCCTTGAGTAGTTGAGCAACTTCCTCCTGCAAAGTAGGAACAAAGTCAAAGTTGGCAGTGGACCAATCTTGTCACTCTTATCTCTGTTCTTGAAGTCATCCTAAATCCATCCGATTTTGATCACTGCCACTGTATGTGACATCTGGTGAGGGTCAAGTTAGTTTCTTATGCATGCTACAAGAGAGGCACAATGGTTGTTTGCCCTGCACCCCTAACGTACACCTGAGTGGTGCTGTAGAGGTACATGTGATGTCCGTGACAGAGCCAATTAACCATGACATCTAACTAATGATTCAGAGAAATGATCCAATACTCCTAGTCTGTAATCTCCTTGACCATTACTATATGATGGATGTATAGATTTGAAAAATACATAATCAGGTCACCGAGCTCTTAATACCAAAAAAGGTCTGATTTGTACATATACAGTAGAAATACTTCACAAGTGGACATTTGGGAAAGGTTTGTGACAATTTCGTTTTAGACACTGAGTGGAAATGCTTTAAGAAATTCGGGGTTAAAACAATTTCATAAATGACATAATGAAATACTAGAGAACCAACGACGATACCTTAAGTATCTCTACTTCCTCAGGATGTTGAGCGGCTAGTAGCGGCATCCCAGCCAGGGCCTTCTCCAGGTCCTTGGCTAGTACCTTGACCCCCTGGGCGCCGGCTATCTCCTTAAACTTCTCATACTGATTCTGCAGTGACATAAGGCATAAAAATAAGTAACAAACAATGAGAACAGTTCACTGGATTTGAGACTAGATGACTTGTGATTGGCTTGTGATTGAGTTGTGTATGATTTGGGATTGACTTGGGATTGACTTGGGATTGACTTGGGATTGACTTGGGATTGACTTGGGATTGACTTGGGATTGACTTGGGATTGACTTTTGAGGATTGACTTAAACTTTGCCTTCTCGTTTCAGCAAGGAGGGGGGGGGGGGGGGAAGGAGGCCACTGGGGCAACCACGCTCCATGGCGAGTTTTGCTTTTTTTAAAGAAACTGAAAGTGCAAGAATGTCATGACCAACACTTGCACTTCAAGACCCCTTCAAAAATGAATGTGTACAAACAGTTATTCCAGCACAGATCAGACAGTTAGTGTTAACATTTAGAATTGCCCTTCCTCTCAACACAGGTTTCCATGCAAGTGTCCTTCCCATGGGATATCTCTAGGTGTCAAAGCGGCCATTATTGTTAACACACATCAGTCGGTAAAGTCAAGTCTCTTAACATTTTGGGCCATGTTTCCTTGGGTATTGATAAAAATGTTATTTGTAAAACCTTGTGAAAGCCACAATCTCCCCAGCGTGTGTCTTACCTTAACTCTGAGTTCTTTTAGAGGCTGTGGCATGAGCAAGCCCCTAACCGGCGTGACTATGGGTCCCTCCTGACCAGCTAGGACGATGGTGTCTCCTTCCCTTAGCCGACCGTTGACCAATACCACGTCCACTGTGGTCCCAAGACCTGGAAGGGATTTCACCTTTCGGGGAGACAAAAGGCAAAACTTTATCGTGAAGTACTTTTAAAGGAAAACAACACACCAAGGAAAACTGACTTTATCATAATGCACTTGGTCAGTTTCCCTTCAAGGTTTATTTGAAGTTTTGGAATAAAAAATGTCGCCAAATGATACCCGTTTCCTATTTCCCAGGTTTGCAGCATTGCTAATGTTGCTAGCTTCATAACTTTGGGCGTGATCCCTGGCTACATGGCATATACGGGTTTATGGCTTCTGACTAGCAGAAACTGAACAAAGATACTGACAAACTGGGGAACCACCAACATAGGGCTGGATAGCTCATTTGGTAGAGGACTGGAACGACAGTCCGGAGGTCGCAGGTTCAAACTCCGCTCCAGTCAATTTCTTTCTTCAACTTCAAAAAATAAAAATAAATTAGAGAAACAGAGGGCCAGACATTTTGACAATCTCTTGCGATGGCTAAAAACAAAGGGGTAAATTGCTAGTAGAATCATCTCAGTGCCAGTGCGTACTTAATACTGAAGTGAATGCAGACACAAGGTGCAACATTATGTATTTGTGCTGCAACTTTTGTAATGAAAATGCTGATATCCACTTAATTTCTCAGGACTGTTGGTCAATATAACAATTTTAAACCGAGAATCACTTGAGGTACTGCGAACATATCCAGCCCTTTTTGATCATGCGCGTACCCGACCCGTACCCTTAGATTTGACAGAAAAGTCAGAAACTGAAGGTCCAGGAACCTGACTATCCATACTATAGTGCATACCTCTAGCGTTGTACACTGTAGCTCATCCGAGAAAGCTAGTCTCTTGGCCAGCCTGGTCTGACTGAACTCTATCAGGAGAGCAATGAGGTTGCCCATCCCGTCTCCTGTGTGGGCCGACGTCGGGACCAGGGATACGTAGGTCTTGGTGTCAGGGTTCTCGTAGAACAGAGCTGCATTCAAACCCTGACAAAACAAACAATGCAAAATTCACTCTGCATGATTTGTGACACCAATTATCAGTGTTGCTATTAACTCCATCACAAGTCCAGGGCTTGCGAGGACTTGCGAGGACTTGCGAGGACTTGCAGGGACTTGTGAGGACTTGCGAGGACTTGCGAGGACCTGCGAGGACCTGCGAGGACCTGCGAGGACCTGCGAAGACTTGTGAGGAATTGCAAGAACTTGTGAGGACTTGAGGGTTTGCAAAGCCTTGTAACGACTTGTGGGGACTTGTGGGGACTTGTGAGGACCTGGAAGGACTTGTGAGGAATTGCAAGCACATGTGAGGACTTGTGGGGTTTTGTGGGGACTTGTGTGGAAGTGCAAGGGATTTTGAGGGCTTGCAATGTCTTGTAACAACTTGTGGGGACTTGTGAGGACCAGTGAGGACTTGGGACAGACAAAACAACATTGCCATTTGTTTGAAACATGAATGCAGGGTTGAGGATAATTTATTAGCCATCTCTGCTGCTCACTGAGTTGAATCAAGTCATATCTGGGACGTTGTAACAGTCACATTCTCCATCGCAGTTACAACACATCTCGGTTACCACGCCAAAAGATCCCGCCATACCCTAACCCCCTAGGATGTGTGAAAACATATATGATTGCACCATTCAGGGACTGTTAGTGTTAAGTATACAGAAAGAAAAGTTAAAAGCTTAAGTGTATTAGGCCCAAAAAAAAAAATGGAGACCACAGTGTGCGTTGCGACTGCATATGAAAACTAATGACAAAAATCTCTTGAGCCTCATTTCAGGAAATCATACTTTATCAGCAGGTGAAATGCTACACAATTGACCTATCGCAGTAGAATCGCGTTCGAATCACGTCAACGCAGCTTGTGAAATATTGTCCAATTACAAGATATACAAATGGACGCAAACACTCAACATCTGAGACAAACAAAACTTAGTGTACACAAATTCCATAGGGTTGTCTAAGGGGCGTGGCTAAGTCGCAAACGGCAATACGTCAAGTACTTCAAAGGTCAGTTCTCATTAAAACACCAGAGTAGAACCAACTTCATTGCATTTGAACTGATACTTGACTAGTGATACACATATTCCAGTAATTGTGGGTAGCATATCCTTGAGGTTTTCAAGACCAGGACAAATCAATATTGCAATTAAAGTGGTTTGTTTCATTTCAACAAATTTTATGAAGCCCAATACATCATTTGGTAAGGCCCAAAAAAAAAATAGTCGGTCTCTGGTCAGACCGAAGTTCCGGAATAGATGCGGCGACGCGTTTTTGTTTTTTTTGGTGGCTTTTTTTTTTTCAAGCTTGAATTGTACAGACAAGGTGGGTACTATTTTGCTTTTTTGTGTCCTCATTATACATTGGTGTCCTCCAAAATTTGCCTTGGTGCCCTTTATCATTTGCCTTGGTGCAATTTCCCCATTCCTTGGTGCTCCTTGGTACAAAAATTTGAGGAGGCGCGGCAATAGAGGGCGCTGTTGTAGCTTCCGTGTTAATTTGAAAAAAAAAAAAAGGTTGATGCGCATGATTAAAATCGACGCGCGCTGACCAGAGACCGAGTTTTTTGGGGTTTTTTGCCTTAGTTTCCATGATTTTTGCACCAAACCGTGAATTTTAATATTTTGGGGGAAGTTTTTTTCCATTTAATTAGCTTTTCATCTAAGTAATGAGTACCCTTTGACGAAATAGTGAAATGAGAAGTTTATTCTCTGTGAATGCTCCTGGCGCTGATTCACACACCTGTTCGGCAAAAGCCGTGATGGTCATTTTGACCCGCTCGTCAAACTCGTCCCTGGTGTGCTTCTTCTGTTTCTTGACGGTGTTAGCAATGTCTGTGTGAGGACTGCTCTTCCATTCATACAGCACATCGATCTACATGAGACCAAAAAAAAAGACAATCTACAGAGGTGCCAAACGTGGGGAACTACACTGCAGCAAGGTTGGTTAAATAACGACCAATTAGTATTTGAATGTAATTTTGAAGATAATCCTTTTGTTCACTGTGTGCGATAATACTGCTTACAGCCCCTGACTTTGCTTCACAAAAATGGCGCTGGAATCAAAACTACTGGACCGAATCAGGGTTCTTGGTGTAATTTTCATGCCAACAAAATGTCCTAGCCATATGATCAATAGTGTGGAGGTAGGTCTCTGAATATTGGAAGTATGAGGTTGCGGGGTTTTTTTTTTGGGGGGGGGGGACCACCCTGTGTTATCTCATGACAATCTGCAGCAAAACTTGCTGTGTTAACTGAGTCCAGCCGAAACAGGTTTTCGTTTTGCCCAGTTTTTATTGCTTTTTTCCCACTATTTTCCATTGGAATTGTGAATGGAATTGGAATTTTCCATTGGAATTTGTGATGCGATCAAGCTAAACGAGTCGTTTGTCGACAATTATGATTTTAAGATACAGCCCAAAATAGGTCAGTAGGGGTGGAAATTTCAAAACTGACTTTTGTTTAAATTGGAAGGCTACATATGTCCTCTTTCATGTCAACTACTTTTTTTCCAAGAAAAAGTAGTTAAAATGTGATATTTTGGCTTTGTAGATTTCTCTGTTTTCATCTTTCTGATCTGCCTGTGTTTTAAGTCCCATAACTTCTGAACGGAAGGTCGTATTCACATGGGGTTTTCACCAAAAATAAACTGAAGGATAGCTCTATTCAAAAATGTAAAACAACAAAATTCGATAGGGGTCGGCAAATGACTCATTCAGCTTAATCGCATCACCTTTACATATATTCTGCACCCCTCTTTGGAAACTGATATTAATCCTATCTATTGAAGATAGCTACAATCAATTATGTCATAAATACGTCAACATGTATCAAGTGAGATCAAGGGTACATTTTCACTGTGCATTATACAGAGAATTACGCATTAAGTGTGACTGAAACTTGGTATGTGTATAGACGATAAACTCTTTTATTTAGATTCAAATTCCTCAAGTTTTATTGCGCACCTGTTTTGTTTACTCACAACTATGTATTCTGGACCTCTCAGGAAATGCCCTCACCTTGTTTAATGCCACAATAAACGGTGTCTTTCTTGATCGGAGTAGGTTCAGCGATTCAATCGTCTGGGGTTCCAATCCATGCATGACATCCACCACCAGGATGGCGATGTCGCACAACGACGAGCCTCGTGTCCGCAGGTTGCTGAAGGACTCATGGCCCGGGGTGTCGATGATAAGCAGGCCCGGGATTCTCAGCTCTTCCTTGGCAAACTGCACAGACAAGAAAAAAAAAACAAAACAAGATTCAGTCTTTACCTCCTTTTGTATATTACAATACCTCATGCATATTCATGAGCGAGAGTGATTTCTCAACTTCCAATTCTCGGGGAATATAACGGTAGGTCGAATTGTCATGAAAGTTGGTGTCAGTACCTGTATCTCTTAAACTCCACAGTACCTCAGACTGATGTTGACAACATGGAAACTACACACACTTCTGACTAACATCTCATCAGCCTTAAAATAACTTTCATTGAGGAGGGGCCACCACCAGTCCACAAGAGCCCACAGGGATTGGATGCTTTAGCTGCCTATACATCTTGGTCTATTCCCTGATTGTTTTATGATGTCCAATTCTCTTTTTCTTTACATTCACAAGAAGTATGACCCATCCCTAAGAACTGAATATGTAATCTGCTGCCTGACTCAGCGACGGCTAATTTCATGCTTGAATTCAAGAACCATATTTAAGAGCCAATATTACAATCACTGCTAAAATCTATCTGTATAAAAACGCCCAGTTGCAAGACCTTTTCTTGACAAAAGAAGCGCCAGGTTATTTGAAGCGTAACTAATCGTCTATTGATTAAATTCTGGGACTCCACAGAATCTTTACAGGAGTCTCCAGTCTCTGGTTCCTGTTGTTTTGATTATCATATTCAATATTATATAGCTACATGTATAACTGCAATTAACAGACCTGTTTCCATGCCAACTTTACCCAAACAGATGCAAAGCATCTTTTACAAATGAGAAAAAATTGTGTTGACGTGGCAGTCAGTCTGGGCTCCGCACACGTATGAGACATGAGAGCATCTCCTCTACACGTTCATGAAAAACTTGATTTTGGGATGAAAAAATTAGAGTTGGATTTCCTTCAGACGGATTGGGAGTTATATCATTCTACAATCTGATAGTAATTTGTTTTGGTTTCCATTACTCGATCAATAAAATCAATTCACTATAATTTACAAATTGAATAACCAACTATGTATCTGGAGGTGCAACGCATTCTGTTTGGAGGATGGCTTGCTCTGATGGTCGGTGTTTTCAATGCTGATAGTACCTGTATGAGTTGCCCACAAGGATGGACATACTACAATCATTCATGCTATATCAAGTTTATTAACGACAAAATCCCTTGGATTCAGGCTTACAAGAGATGTGAAAGTCTGAATGCTCAGCTGCTGGTACTCAACTCCAGAGAAGAGACATATTTTATCAAAGAAATAATGCAGCAAGCATTTCCTGAAAGAAAATCATCTGGCACACAACTCTGGCTTGGCTGTAAGGAGATAGATGGGAGGTGGGTGTGCTCTGATGATAACCAACAGCAGCTTGCAATGCTCAACAATGAACAGACATGCACAGTGCTGGAGCCCTTCACTTCAGAATCTAGAGCACTTGATTGTTTCAAGGAAAGGCGATGTATTTGTGAGAAACAAAAAATAGTTAGCAGTTCAGTTCGCTGCCAAGGTGTCATTAAACAAGATGCTGACCTGATGACCATACCCTACTGCCTGCTGGGCCACGCCTACATGGTCACCCACATCAAGCACCCGATACAATGCTGCATGGCCTGCTACAAGAATCCCAACTGCCGCTCCTTCAACCTGTCAGGGAAGATGTGCCATCTCAAAAATGTCACCATCTCCCAGGTTGATGCTGACAAGTTTGTGACTACCATGGAGAGCTGTGCCAACTACCAAATTGATTTGTAATAAGCAGGAAGTATAGCAGAATAAATCACGCGCATTGTTCTCTGATATACCCAATAAGTTCCAGCTCAACACAAACAAAAACTTGGAACTCTTTACAAGCTATTCCTCAACAAAATCACCAGTTCCTGTATCTCTTAAACTATACAGAACCTCAACTGATGACAACATCATGGAAACTACATGTACAACTTACTTGCTCACATCTCATCAACTGTAAATTACAATTCTATCGGTAGCTCTCCAAAGATCTTTTGCTGAAATGATTGACTATTATTAATGAGCGACGGCTTTCACAAAACTCTCCACCGACAATGAAAATCAAAGTTTGGCTGGTTTAACGTGGCCGATGGGGATTTTTGGGAAAACAAATCCACCTTCCACATGAGTTGCATAGTGACACCATGATGGAAGCAAAAAGAGATTGTCATTTTAATGAAGACTGATCTTCTAATTGTCAGGTTGTGGCTTGTCAAAACAAAATACCCAGTCTCAATGATGGCATATTGACAGTAGGACAACAATAACAATAACTTGTCACTCTCACTGTCAAATAAAGTGATCTGTTTGGAAATTATGGACAGTTACTGGCTCACTACGGAAAGGCTTCGTATCATTTAAGGATTGGATGCCGACGGGACCACAGCTCGATCGCGCTAACAGATACAGCAGTGAGAGCTCAGATTGAGTTACCATTGCAAACTGCTAGCAAGGATTTACTCAGAATGTATCTGGAGATGCAAAGCATTCTGTTGGGAGGATGGCTTGCTCTGATGCTTGCTGTACTTGGCACTGATGCTACCTGTACAAGCTGCCCACAAGGATGGACATACTACAATCACACTTGCTACATCAAGTATATTACAGACAAAGTCCCATGGATTGAGGCATACAAGAAATGTGAACGTCTCAATGCTCAGCTGCTGGTTCTCAACTCCAAGGAAGAGACAGACTTTATTAGAGAAATAATGCAGCAAGCATTTCCTAGCAATTCAATTAAGAAACAGCTCTGGCTTGGCTGTAAGGAGAAAGATGGGAGGCAGGTGTGCTCTGATGATAACCAACAGCAGCTTGCAATACTCAACAATGAATGGAAATGCACAGAGCTGAAGCCCATCACTTCAGAATCTAAAGCAGCTGATTGTTCCAAGGGAAGGCGACATATTTGTGAGAAACAAGAAAAAGTGAGCAGTTCAGTTCGCTGCCAAGTTGTGAGCAAGCAAGATGCTGGCCTGATGACCACACCCTACTGCCTGCTGGGCCACGCCTACATGGTCACCCACATCAAGCACCCGATACAATGCTGCATGGCCTGCTACAAGGATCCCAACTGCCGCTCCTTCAACCTGTCAGGGAAGATGTGCCATCTCAACAATGTCACCATCTCCCAGGTTGATGCTGACAAGTTTGTGAATACCGTGGAGAGCTGTGCCAACTACAGACTTGACTGATTCTGATTCAAGGTAAATTATCTCAACAGTCTGCTTCTAGGCAACATCATTTTATCAAACAGGACTATGTTTTGACAGATACATGAATCTGAAATGGTCAACTCATGATCTACATGATTTAACTGAAGATGACATTCTCTACATTGGCCAATATACAAGTAATTCTCAATGACATCAAATCAACTTTGTCAATGAAAACATGAACTTACTGATAACAAACTTGAAACTGAACAGTGTCTTTGCTGCTCATTTAGTAACTTTTACTCACTGATTGGTCCAATTCAAGTTAAGTGATTTTTTTCTGGTTTATAACAGTTTTGGGATTAACTTTAATCTCCAGAAATTGCCGATATTGAAGCCTTCACCAGGAAATACCTGTGTATTGATGTTACTAAAATAAAGAGTGCATTAAATATCTGATTGCGTTTTGTAATTGTGACAAAGTACAGTGCCTTACTAATTATTAGCTTTTGGAAAATAAAACAATTATGTTTTTGAATGCCTGGAAACTTTATGTACACTTTGAAAAGTGATCTTGAAATATATTATTGCACGCAGTATAATATATGAGTTGGTTTAGAAGTATGAGTTGGTATTAGAGTAAAACATATGATAAATATTTTAAACTTATATAATATATTCTGCACTTATGTTGTAATTGTGAAAAAAAGTAAAGTGTCTTTGAAGTTTAAAGTTGCATTCCCTGTGCTATTTTAAGTTTCACCCCAATATTTTTTTTGATGAGATATCGAACAAACACAATCCCTGGATGTTTGGTTACTCAGTTATTTCTTTACAAAATTCAAAATATTTGCGTCCTGACGATCTTTCCACTCTTGCAGGGCAGGTTGAATTGTGCGTAAAATGAAAGCCTTTTATTCTGAGAGTTGCACACGTCCAAAACTTGAGGCACATAGGATTTTTCGTTAAAACATAACACTCAATAAGAAAATTTGTTGGAAGAAATAAAAAAAGGAATTCTCTTGAAGAGCATGGGGTATGCAACGTTAAGCAATAATGCTAACTTTTCTTTAAAAAAAATGAATTTGAATTTTTGAAAATTGTCTGCACATTCTAAACAATATCCATGTGAAATACGTTACTGCATTTGGTGTCTTGTAAGTATCAGGTCAGCTTGAGATTTAGACAAGAAATTATTTAATATCCTTAAACAGAGTGTTTTCTGTATACTTAAATATAACTTTGCATCTATTTAGTAAGATGGTGATTTTCTGGCTGTTGACAATGTGACTTTTACTCATGGAAAGTTCTTCTATATTAATTCTTTGTGTAAGTTTTAGGGATTACGTAGCCCCACCCTAGAAAAAACAAATCGAACAAATTCAGAATTTTGTTTAACAAACAACTTTCTTATGGCATGTGTGTCTATTTCCAATATTGAAAGGAAAATTCTCTGATGTGTACTGCATTTTCAAACATTTTACTGTCTAGATGTTAGTGATAAGTAAAAATTTCAAAGATGGACTATTTGCACTTTCAAGCCAATTTAACTTTATTCGCACTATGTCATGCTCTTTCTTTATTGAACTTCAAATGAAGTTGTAGAAGACGTTTCAAAATTTGATCTGATAACAACATTGTGTAGAACCTTGTGTAAAGTGCAAATAAAGGATTGCCTAAAGCATGACGAGAAAAAGTGGTTGCCTGATTTTAAGTCAAAACCTACAAATTTAAGGTCTTGTTCTTGCAAAAAAATGCTTCCCATTAAGAAAAACAAATGTCCTAATTACAAGTTATGGAGTTGTGAATGCTGCAATTTTCAAGGAAGCAATAGACAGCTTAGGAATTACATCACAATATT